TTTGAAGGTTGTTCACAGAGTAAACTGTGATGAATTTTAAAATCTACATCCTTCCTTCCCTTTAGACATTAAAACTATTGTGGGAGAATTGCAGTTAGTATATTTACTGTAATATGAGAATGTTTTCAGATCCACTGTATCAGCTAAAGTATCACATGTGTTACCAACTCTTTCATGGTCTGACCAGCCCTGTTGGGCGACCTGATCATTTATGTTTGAGGTTATTTTGATGAAGCCACGCTTCCCCGGAGGCAAGTCCACCAACCCAGAAGTATCTCCATTCGGAGTTTCGGCACACCACCGATTATTCAACATTCGCCAGCTGCCATGAATTATCCACCATCAGACCCTGATGTATTTAACGCGGTGACCAGGCTTCAGTCAGTGCTGGATCATTAGACTGAGCTTGAGGTGGAGAGGAGAACACGGGAGCTGGGTGAATGGACCACGGGGGCCACGGCCAAGGGATTTCACTGGACTGTAATTGTTTCACTCTGTAAATAAATTCACTGTCTCATTGCAAGGAGATCTGGGCTCGAGTCCGCTTCTTCCACACACCACGACAGAATGATCCAGCCACCCACGGACTCGGCAGACTCCGATCTTGTTAAACTGGAGTTATGTGTGGAAGCAGACCTTTTGGACCGCCATGAGAAAATGTTGCATCACCTGGTAAAAAGAACAGATCACTCTCCTCCAGGCTGTCTCAGAGATTAAAGGTATGTTGCAACCTACACCTGCAGCAGCGGCCAATATTCCACCTACCTTGCCTCCGCTAAGTGTGGCAGCTGCCTGCCCGCTGCCTCCCTCTCCTCCTCCACCAGTACGTGAACACACTCTGCCTATGCCTTAAAAGTTTTCTGGGGATTTGGACAAATGTGGGTTTTTGAACCGCAGTGTGCCCTGATTTTCCGGCAGCAGACACATGCTTATGCTACAGACTGTGCCAAGATCACTTTAATTGTTCAGTTATTGACGGGCCGGGCTTTGAAGTGGGTTCAAGCTGTCTTAATCTCTTAAGCCCCAACGCCCCCTGATATGGGGGCAAAAGGCAGGAGATCAGTTAGGCTTGGGGCTTAAGAGGTTAAGCACCAACCCAAATGTTTCCTACCCGGATTTCTTGGCCAACTTTAAGTGTGGTTTGGATAAAGGCTCCAGCCCAGAGACGGCTGCCCACCGTATGTTCTCCCTGAAGCAGAGCAGAAGGAGCGTGGCTGATTTCTCTGTAGAGTTTTGGACCCTGGCAGAGGAGGCGGCTGGGAGGAAAAGGCGCTGAGAGGAGCTTTTCTGAATGGCCTCAACGAAATAATAAAACGTGTGTGCTGATAGTGTTAGTGCAGCTGTCCCTTTAATAGTTCTGATACCTGGTGACATCACAGGAAACAGGAAGCAGGAAGTAGTAAGGTTTAGTGAAGTTTGCACATGGCCAAGGAGACTGCCATGAATCCACATGCATCTGCCCTCAATCCTTCGTCTTTTGGAGCATCGTCTGTATGTATATTGTTTATTTGATACTTAT